GACCACGGGTAAGGCCAGCAGCCAAAAAATGGCAACGGCGTCAGCGAAGAAGCTTCAGCCGCCGATCAGTCCCAGTGGTCAGAGAAGCGAGGGCGACAAGAAGGCGCCTGCTTCACCATCACTGCCGCCATCGCAGGCCAAGAGTACCACGGCAAAAGCCACGGCATCCGCAAGGAGCCACGGGGGCGACTCGACGGCCACAAAGGATACGGCGGCAATCGAATCAGAGAAACCCCTGCGATCGCTTTCCGGTGACGTCTTACAAAAGCGTCAGTCGCTGTCCTCATCCTCGACTGCATCGTCGTCGTCACTGGAGGAAAGAACGACGGAAGAGCATACTGAGCGCGACGAGCTTTATCGAAACGTCCAAGACTTGCTCGGCGAGGTGCTGGCCTGCCTCGACGCCGAGAGCTTCTCCAAAAAGACAATCAGCAAGGCATGATTCTTCTGGAGGACGTCATCGAAGCCACCGGAGAAGACATGCCGACCGACCTGCGCCCAACGTTCGCGCCGCCCGCCTGTCGCTCCGGAGTCGACAGGGCCAGCTGCGACCTGACGGTTCGCTTCGCCGACAGCGACAATCCCGCCCAGTCGCGACCCGACAGTCCAGCCTCAGTCTCGAGACCAAAGAAGAACGCAAAGACAGCCGTGGCGCAAGTACCGATCATCAAGAACAAGAATCAGCAACCACAGCCGCCACAAGGAACCTCGCTGTGGCCCTTCCATCGTAGCCGGGTCAACGCTGCACCCAAACCCGGCAGCAACGCCGCCGCAGCCTCCACGAAAGTGCAGTCGCAGTCGAAGCAGCCTCTCCGGAGAGACTCCATCGGTCAGATGGTGGACACTGAGCTGGTGGTAGCCATGGACCGCAAGATATCGTGGGGAAAGGCCAAGGAGTACCCTGGAAGCGTTACTCTCTCGGAGCTTAACGACGACGGCACCGGAACGAGCAAGACGAGATCACTCAAAAGAATCAAGAAGAAGAAGAAGCCTGCCGAAGTACAGCCGCAGAACAAAGGGGGACATCGCTTCTTCGGAGCATTTTGGGCATCGTGAGCTCGTCACAGAAGACGACCCAGGCGCCAACGCGGCCGCAGGTGAAGGGCGCTGCAAAACGACCTGCCAAAGTGCAATCGACCGCCTCTCGCCAACCAGCGGCAAAGGGTCGCCGAGCGGTTCAAAGGGAAGCAGCAAACAACAGCGGCGGAAAGAAAAAAAGGCAGCGGTCGCGGTGGTGGTGCCAAAGGAGAACCAGCCACTTCCCCCGTTAATGGAAGTTCCGGAGAACGCAGTCGCCCCAGACGATGCATGCATCCGTGCTGCCGGTCCCGAAACTCCTGTTGCGCAAATCCCTGATGCCATAGATAATACTGCAGCAGATGCGGTCGCTGTTGACGCTGTCGCGGTACAGGAACCCGTAGCCGAAGCAGCCAGCCAGCAGTGTGCGGTTTCGGATACAGAGATGTATCGTACCCGCTGGCGGTGATTGAGACGCGATGTTGCCCCGAAAGCGGGCTTACACGCACAATTGTGGGACACTATATGCATTGCTTCAAAGCTCTTTCTGTAGTGACTTGGTTATCCTTAAAATGCGCCTGACCATGACATATGCAGTTTCTCTAAGAAATCACGTGTGAGTTCTAATGATGTGAGTTATCACATGTGTGCCGGCCCCCTCCTCACCGTTTCAAGTTATTGACGTTGCAAAAGATACACTATTAAAGAATCAAGTTCCTTGTTATTGTTCGGAACGCTTAAGCACTCGTTCTGAGCCCAATTACTGCAGCAAACTCGCCAAACCGGAATGAGTCTCTTGCGCTGTCAAAATTAGCTGCAGTAATTATCCCGGAGTTAATCGAATTACTTTAAATTCTTAAATCCAACTAACCTCAAATAAACGGAAGTTTTATCAGTAAAAAACATACTGACTTGAACGTCATGGTGCACATCAGATGTTTCAAGAACTTCTCAGCCCTGCCGTGCTGGTCTAGTGGCTAAGGTACTCGGCTGCTGACCTTCAGGTCGCGGAATCGAATGCCGCTGCGGCGGCTGCATTTCCGATGGAGGCGGAAATGTAGGCACATGTGCTCAGATTTGGATGCACGTTAAAGAACCCCAGGTGGTCGAAATTTCCGGAGCCCTCCACTACGGCGTCTCTCATCATATGGTGGTTTCGGAACGTTAAGCCCCACACACAAAGAACTTCCAGCGCGAAGAACTTCCGACAAAGAACACTGGTATTTGTGTTCGTTGTCAGAAGTTTTTTGCGCTGAGAAGTTTAATAATGGATTACCAACTAGCCCAATCCCACACTTCGTTTCAATAACGTTGCCACACTAAGGCTTCGTCTAACCAGTGTACAAGGTGCCAAGTCTAATGCTTCTTAATAAGCTCTTGACAAGTCTCGGTTCGGCGATTGCAGATATGACTCAGCGGCTAGTTGGTACCGGAAATTCGAAGGGTGAGGGGACATCACTTCATTTAAAACACCCTTTAATTTTATGGCATAAGTGTTCTTTGGGTCATGGAAGCTTCCGATGAAGTGCGAGACAGCTATTCATGCTTTTTACTGTGACTATTATTTGCTATAAATACACAAGCAATTTTTTCGCGCTTATATAAATTACACAGTTTATTTAGCGCATTCATTACTAATATAGATCAAGCTTAAAATCCAGCGTCGGCGATTTTTCGAGGTGAATCTCAATGAAATCTCTGCGCGTTGAAGTTCATTTGCACGTTTGCGCCGGTCATGCCGGATTGAAGGCATGAGAGCTTCGCTGATTCTTTGCAAATGAATTTTATAGCTTGCCTCGAAACGACACTTCACTTTCCAGAATTATTTACGACATTATGTGGGTGACGTTGAATTTTGCGAGCGATGCGAGTGAATGAATTGATGTGCCACAGCAGCCTGCTTGCCTGTTACGGATATTGTGGGTTTGGCCGGCGCTTTCTTGGTTGAGCGTACAATTTACTTCTCCGGATTGGTGAGCGTGTGATTGGTGGCAAGTGATGTGCGTTATAGGCCGCACACGATTCGCCATATATTCACCATAACAGCAAAAGCATTTTAGCTGATCGCCGCAGTCACAAACTTGGACGACCTGACAAGCAGTGCTATCTGACGGCGTTATGCGCAACCAGGTAGGTTCGAGGAAAGTATTACGTCATACGTAAAAGCGCACTCGTTTGTGTTTTTGTTTCGGTATTGTGTGTTTAATCCCCAATTATGAATTATTTTCAAATTAGCTTGAGCATTATTCAGCTATCGGACATGACCAGAGTGCGCCAAGAAACATTTACAAAAAACATCACATTACCCTGACATGGTCGAAAAATTGCCGAAGTTGGCCTTTAACGACATATCAAACTCTATTTTGCTCAGCTTCATCCCAAGCGGTCATTCGCTTTCACATAATTTCAGCATACTTTGATGCAAACGATGATGATTGGTGTTAGTAATGTCTGTACGGTCTTCCATAAGATAATGCTTGCCCATGAGTCGTAAGCTTTCTAGGCGCAGCATCTAGTTCAGTCCTTTAATCGCATTGGCATAGGTGACTTTATTTATTACATTGTTTTTGCGAGTTGCCAATATTTGCTCAAAAATTTTGCACATGTGGGTTGTTTCATTTCTCTAATAGATGCACAATTCTATGAACGAAAGCGACAACAGGTAGCATTCGTGATTACATAGGCGTAACTATTTATCACGCCATGTCAACTATGTCATCGTAACGAATTCAGTTAATCACACATTTTCGATCTGGTCGTGGGAATGTTTGAACCGTCGTAGGCTAAATGTTCAACTGTGCGAGCCCCATCGCCAGCAACATCAACGTCCATATTGGCAGCTGGCAGGAACCAACGCCGGGAACAAAATTAATGGCCAGAGGCGCTGCCTTCTCTCGTCTTCTTCGGCCTCGGAAATGATGTCGCTGTCAACCGAGCGCCACGGGTGCACAGCCTCTGATTCAATCATCGACATTCTATCGGCGCGCAGGCAGGCAAGCCGCCACCACAGCAGTTTCACCTTGTGCTATGCCCAGCCAAATCAGCTGCATCGTTCCATCGTTGGCCAAATGACAGGAGAAGTCACGGGTGAGCCGGTCATCTTCGCGCGCAGTTCTTCCTCGGACTGCGTTGCTCTCTGCGCGTCGCGTCTGTCCCAAAAGTGCGCCAGGGCGACGGCAGCGCGAGCGCAGCACGGAGACAAGATCGTTCCATCACGGCCCTCCGGGAACGACGATGCGTCCAGCATCGGCGGCTGCAGCGAAAGCAGCAGTAGGATTGACGAGTCACCGAAACCAGCCCAGCGCCCTGCCTCTGGCCATTTGCAGGGCAGTGCCGAAACCTCCGTGAGGAGCCTCGAGGACGATAGCAGCGTCACCACCGTCGACGACTCTTCTTCGGTTGTGGTGCCAGTGACCCAATTGGGAGATCATTCTCGAAATCCCGCCGATCAGACTTCCAAGACCGGTGCACACTATCGCAGGAACAGCTGCAGCAGTGGCGAAGACCCCCTCAGCGAAGAATCCGTCGATGGAGCAGAATTGACAGAGGCACGCCCCGCAAACGAGACTCTTTCTTCCACGGACGTGCTTGGCACAGTCTTCTGAGCCACCAGCACCCGTCCGATACAGGGCCAGCTAGAGTTGCTACTGCGCAATCCGACAACACAGACACTCTCCCCTCGTTCGAGCGAAATGGACTCTCAGTCCCCGTCGGCCACGCAGGGATACGGCGGGAATGAGGCGACCGGGTGCATTGTGGCCTACCCCGACGCGTCGACGTATTCCCCATGACGCCTGACTCGCACCTACAGGACTCGTCCCTACGCGTCCACGTCCACGGACGGGAGAGCCAACCCAGGCGGTACTGAACGCTACGAGGATGAACCCAGCGCGTCGAGCGCAATAAGCCACGAACCGCTCTCCGGCGGCGAGTGGCAGCTCTTCGCCCGGAACGCAACAGCCCCGTAGGATAACGGTCAGGGATCAGAAGCGACCAACCTTGAGGTCACGCTCCGAGCGAGAGAGGGACAGAGACAGGGACCAAGACCGAGACCGAGACCGAGACAGAGATAGGGAAAGGGACAGAAACAGAGGAAGAGAAGAATAGACGGCTTCGTTGCACTTGCACGATACATACGCTTGGCCAATATACAATTGAATTTGTACAATAAATGGTTGCTAGTTTTATCCGTGTTCATACTACTCATATATATAGAAGATGCAAAATCGTCTCTCTCACAGCTTAACGGTGCTGCCCAATTTCCACGTACAAAGGTCGCACCGCCATAAGGTTTGCATCGGTAGTACAAGTTACAGTGCGCAGCTGCTGACCAGCAGGTCTCGGGTTCTATCCCGGCCGTGGCGCTTGCGTTTCGATGGGTGGGAAATGCTTTAGAGGCCCGTCTTGGTAGCACAACCTTTGAGACGGAGAGTGATAATCATGACAAGGATAATTGTAGTATGATAAAATAATTCATTTACTTCACTAAGTGTTCTCGCGATAGAGTAACAACTGGGAGGATGAACTTGCAATTTTATTACTTACTATACTGACTTACGCTTTACTATTGCCCACTACGCTGCTGCAGGCTAACTTCAAGAGGGATCGAGACCAGACATGAAGTTATCCACCGTAAGAGCATAAGTTTAGGCATGTTAGTAATTCATAACTGACCACGTTGCACAAAATTTCGCGCTACATGATCAGTTAGACATCCAATAACATTCCTTTGGACCTACGAATGGTGTAAATAAAGTGAAAAAAGAAGCTTGATAAGAGAGCCTATTATGAGATTTTTTTTATAAAACTAAGAATAGTTCGCAGTTAGAACAACCGTGTCATAGTTCCACGCAAAGGCGGACGCAAGTCGTTGTTGTTGTTGTTGTTTCCCTGTGCAGATGGCTCGTACCCAAAGGAGGGCATTGGCCGATTATAAGGCGAATTCTCTGAGCCTCTGAGTCTTTGAGACACAATGAACATACCCTCGCGAGTCCAACATCCGTTACCGAGTTCGCGGTACCGATGTTTTCGTTGCACAAACATCTTAAGCTATTAACCTGTAGCGTGCGCCTGTATTGACCGTACTCACCTTCCCCCTCTTGACCACGGGAGCCATGGGTCTCCTCTCTGGGTCGACCTCGTCGAAGAGCCGCCGATGAGCAGGCTCGGTGTTCTTCACTCGGACAACTCGCTCCGGGGACCGGGGCCTACGCTCTACAGACCCCTCGGGAGGAGTCAGAGGTCGTACCGCTGCGGGAAAGCCAAAATATTGCGTTCCCAATTCTCTATACCTGTGCGTAAGGGGACAATAAAGCAAAAAAAAAAACGATTATTCACATATAAGTAAAGTACAATTTCGCAATCCCGAAAACGCCACTCTTACCACGGGACGACGCTTGGTAAGCTGGAAAACGCGCGAAAATAAGACGCGGAGAGAGAAGATGTCACCTCCAGATTTTCCGCACCAATCACCATGACGTCATAGATTTTGGCCGTGTGTACTGGGACCTATGTAGCGTAAAATTGGTAAAAATAGAGTACATTGTCATCTGTGGCTGACATAAACCTAGCCTAAGAAGTTTCAGAAACTTGATCGAGCTAATGCCGCGAAAGTACGAAAAATACAATTTGAAATCAGAGACATCGCGCGCGGAGGCATCGGCGCGAAGTTTAAAAAGTGAAAACTCAACCTCGACTTTCTTGCTAATAATGAACTCATGATGGTGAAACTTGTACCATTGGAGTTCTCAGAGTGTAGTTTATCAATTTTAAAAGAAGTCTCCGTTTAACTTAAGTGTACATTCAAATGTGTATGGAAACAAATTCCCGGGATGTGATGGAGGTCACAGATGCATGGATGATTAAGATACAGTTACCGATACGAACACATATTCAATAGTACCGTGGAACGACCTCATATCAAAATAACATCGGGGCCATAAGTCAATTTGTTAGATCCGATATTCACCATAACAGTAGAAAAATGCCGATTGGCTCGCAGAGAAGTGCGTGATTCATGGCTTAGAATTCATTATAAATGACGGTATAATCCTTACCTGTCACCTTGCGTTGATTCAAAATAAACAGACCGCAACTTAATAAGCCGGAATCACAACAAAACAAAGTTCGTTTGAGGAAAACGAGTCTATGGTTGGGGTTGTGAATTGGCTTTGAATATTTACTTCGCTTTTCAAGCATTGAACGTCGCTAAACGGACTGTCTCTTCGTTACAACAAATATTGTTGCGACTCTCGCGTTTTCGCTTCGTTATAACAAGAATAATGTTACTAAAATAAAGTGCAATCAAGCAAAGTTCATATCGAGTTTGCAATGACCGAAAATTTGCTATATAGCGAGGTTCAACGGCAGCGAACACCCATGCGTGACATCATTTATCGAAGATTGGTTGTGCGTGCCTATGCATCTGTGACCATTGTGAACCATGCTCAGGACTCTGTTAACTGAATTTTCAACAGGAAGCATAAAGAGAGATGTGAAACGTACAATCTCACTCCACTTTCTACATTATTCAATTTTGTTGTGCGTCAATGTCTTGGAAATTGCATTTCTGTTCAGCCTTAAGATCTTTTAGTTGCAGATAAAGTAGATGCGAGGGTGAGTTGGTCAAATTTACTAGAACGTAATACAGCGCAAAAACAGAATATCGATATAAGAGAGGCACAGACAACAGCACTGTCGCACGTGTCCTCTTTTTTTGTATTTGGTATTTCGCGCCGCTTTAGTGCTTATAGAAGCAGACTCTAACGGCGTTCTGCGTTACGAGTTGAAGACGTTACATCGTCCAAGTGGGATGCCGCGCTGCGCAGTACGGATCTAAGGACGCAACTATGGGCAGTCCAATGGGCCCACGATGTGGCGAAGAGGCTAGGCTTATCTGTCCCGACGTGGGAGTGCACCGCGGGTGCTAGTTGACGCTGTGACACACCCAAATAAAATTTTTCCATTCCATATCATATACGTGGACGGTCGACCATTTGTGGTGCAGAGCGCTTCGACAAGTCTGACGCTTCCACAGGTCTTACCATTTTTCTCCCTTAAAAGAAACGCTTAACTTTTTTTCGAAATTCCCGAAATGTCGCTAAACAGTCCGGTTAGACTTTGAAAATTTTTTTTATTTCATTTTTATGATAGAAAGAGGCAATTAACAAATGCAAAACGAAGACTGTGATGCCAGAGCAACCAGGCAGGTCGAATACTGATGTCCACCTTTGTTGGTGGGACATGGTAACTGCGTTGTGTCCCTCCTGTTGTATACTTGTCCTTGCAAGTGTTTTGCAGTAAGACAGGACAAACACTGATCGTTGTGTCTGCGCGCTTGTACTGTCTATTCTTCAACACCGTTTTCGTTTTACAATCACTGATTTCCTCTTTTAAACCTCAGGAACCAACTCGCCCAGCAAGCTACGTTATTGAACTTGTACAACAATTCTGCAGGAAATCAGGCATTATAGAACAGGTGACCAAACACGAAACGAACTATCTGCGATAACGTGCAGACTCACATGTGAGGTCTTCTTGCGTGTCGTGCTTGAACAACGGCGGCAGGACTGGCATCACGATGCCCGGTGACACTCCGCTCGTCTCGTTCGGTTGCTGCCAGAAAGACTGCGGCAGTGCGCGAAGTTTCATCGGCAGAGGCTCTGCAGAAATCAAACGAGCGATGACAGCTGCGATGACCTCGGTCGTATGTAATTCATAGCAACATTGCTAGCAGCTGAATACGAACATTACCACAGGGCAAGAAAAGTACTTCACACGTACATGCGTGTTTGCATATCTTAAAGAGCGCAATATTGGAACTTTCCATCGTGGTCACGTGTGGCCGATCCACGTGACATCTACATGACGCTTCATGTGAATGAAACCACTGCAAGAGCAGCAAGACAATGACATGTCAATCATGACATTTATGACATACATGTCATGATTTTCATGTTATGACTAGTCAGTTTTGTTCGTCATACAGTGGCGTTATATCATACCAAGTCTGGTATCGATACCATTATCCAACCGGCCAAAAGAGCTAGAAGTCGTAGACAGACAGACAGACAGACAGACAGACAGACAGACAGACAGACAGACAGACAGACAGACAGACAGACAGACAGACAGACAGACAGACAGACAGACAGATAGATAGATAGATAGATAGATAGATAGATAGATAGATAGATAGATAGATAGATAGATAGATAGATAGATAGATAGATAGATAGATAGATAGATAGATAGATAGATAGATAGATAGATAGATAGATAGATAGATAGATAGATAGATAGATAGATAGATAGATAGATAGATAGATAGATAGATAGATAGATAGATAGATAGATAGATAGATAGATAGATAGATAGATAGATAGATAGATAGATAGATACTGTAAAAGTCGCCGAAATTCGTTAAAAATGCTTCGATTTTAAAGGAAAGCGGGAAACTCAACAAAATTTGAGAAAAGGAGTATACAAGACCTGACGCCTAGGACTGATGTAATAATAAAACCCGCTGACAAAGTAGGGGCTATCGTAGTCTTCAATACGACCAACTACGAATAAGAAGCATACCGTCAACAGAATCACTCAAAATTTTACGAACTTCACCCAGGGGATCCGACAGACAAATACGTGCGTATATCGTAACAGAACTGAAGAAGCTGTTAGACGCAGGAAGAATAACATGCAGTGAGCAAGCACAAAGTGATGCGAACAGTATACCCTCGTCCTTGTCGCTTGCTTCTACAGACTCCCGAAAATTCCTAAACCAGGTAGTCCAGGCCGACTAATCATGTCAGGTATAGTTACAGTAACCAAGCCCACATCGGGGTACGTAGACAAATTAATAGGCCACATTACTTGCACTCTCGCATCGTATACCAGCAGTGTGGACGCTATCCATTTTCTTCGACATATTGCAAATATGCGCGTTCCAAAAAACTCCTACTTAGTTACTCTTAATGTGTCCTCATTGCATACAAATATTCCCCACGATGATGGCATATAGCGTCATTAAATAAAACATACGTACACCATAGATAACCTGACACCCAGATTTTCCTGCCATCGCAATGCTTGCGAGGCTGGTTTTGGTATTGAACTAATCTAATTTCAACCAAGAGTACTTTCGAGAAATTGGCGGAACTGTCATGGGTACCAAACTCGCACCAAACTATGCCAACATTTTCGTGCGAAAACTAGAATCCGAATTTCTGTCCCAAACTCCCCTGAGACCACTCCTATAGGAGGTACATTGGCGACATTTTTCTTATTTGGACTCACAGCATGGACGAACTGCTAAGTTTTACAGAGAGATGTTGTGTATCCAAACATATTCTTCGCACACACCTACTCGCAAGTAACCGTGAATTTTTTTGACATTACTATGAAAATAAAAGATGAGAAACATTCCACAAACCTCTACTACAAATGAACGTATTGACAACAGTACCTCCATTACCAAAGTGTTCATCCACGCCATTGTAGAAACAAAATTCCACACGGCCAGGCCGTCTGTTTAAAGCGAATTCGCTCGAAAGACGCTGACTTCCACACGAGCTCAATCAGACTAAACTCATGTTGATAAACAGAAATATTCCTCCGCATGCAATTGATGACGCTACTCAAAAAGCGAGAAAACTGAAACGTGATGACCTTCTGATGAAGCGGCTGCCACAACACAACCTGCAACAGACAAACCTGTGTTACAGCACGAACACAGCACTTACAGCACGAACTTCCCCAGCGTTAACACAATCCATTACAACATACTAGAACAGAGTGAACGTCTGAAACGCGCATTCGCATCGGCTCCTGGCGTCGTTTACCGACGAACGCGCAACCTCAAAGACACACTTGTAAACTCCCAAATCAATGTTTCAACTTCCAACAGTTCATGCCGACCTTGTCTAAAGCTTGGATGTCCTGTATGTAAAGTGGTGCGAGAAACCAGCAAAGCAACCAGCAAAAACCAGAAATCCAGCGCCATGTTTCAATTAACATACGAGAAAATATAACATGCGATTCCTCTAATGTGGTATATCTACTTGAATGCAACGTGTGTGGCATGGAATACACGAAAAAAAAAAAACAGAAACACCCTTTAGAATTCGTTTAAATAATCAGAGATCCCACGTAATATTAGCCCCAAGTATACACCTGTTGATACACCTTAACCTTCCTGGTCATTCATTCGACAAATTGTCAGTCGCGCTTTCAGAAAAATGGTTTAAATGAAACCGGGAACGTGAACAACGTGAGTAATACCTGCTACACCGATTTAACACCCCCGAAAGAGGCATAAATGAAAGTCCGGGTACACTTGCAGCAATTAGCACTATAAAATAATAAGAATAATTATGACATTTCAAAATTTTGCGGTGTTGTAACTGCGACGACAGGAGATTGTGAGTATCTTTCAGTGTGACTACATTTTCCAATATACTACTGTCGTCCACTTCTATCTATCTTAGTAACCGATAATTATTGTAAAGCTGACATGTCAAACAGCCACCGCATACACATCTAATAGCTTCAGAACGCAGATTGTCAGAAAAAAAAATAGTATTCGCCTTGAACGCCAGTTCCTAGGGAGCCTACATGACCGGTCATGTAGGCCACCTAGTCATTCCCATCTGGCGACACTACGCGGTGCCCTCTCGAAGCGAGACAGCTCTTTGGAAGCCTTTTGTGCCCGTGCCTCCCCACAGGAGCATCGGGACGCCGTCTCATGCGGAAGGAAGCTTAGCAGAAAGACGGCCATCTGCGGTCTAACCACAGCCCAGACCACCGATTAGTGACGGTTGGTAAACAAAAAAACGTAGCATATGCGCGAAATGAATGATGACGAGTGGGGCGAAGTGGACGGACGGACGCACGGAAGCAAGCACGGACAGACGGATGGACAGACAGACAGATGAACGGACGGAGAGATGCATTGACGGACGGACGGACGGACGCATGGATGGGCGCATAAACAGACGGACGGCTCCTTGCTAAATGTGGCTGCAAACTGACTACTACGATGACGATGACACGGGACTTACGACCCACGGCGTAAGAAGCTTCACCCCTAAAAAAAAAAAAAGTTTCTGCGATGGGACAAGCGAGACCTTATCTTAGCCGGCCACCATCTACAGTGATGACCCTTGCGAATCGCTGCGCTCTGTTGTCTCACCCCTTCTTTCTCCCTCCCTTTCCTTGCTTCTCCTCTCTGTTCTGCCGTTCTTCCTCTCTCTTTTTCTCTATAACACACACACACACACACACACACCACACACACACACACACACACAACACACACACACACACACACACGCGCGCGCGCGCGCGCGCGTGTGTGTGTGTGCGTGTGTGTCCTCAATTTCATCGCGATCGTGTGAAGAAAAAGCATTCGAGTGCCCTTGGCGAACTGAAAGCACAGACGTGACGGCGCGGCCTCCCTAATCTCGCTCACCATCGTCCTCGTGCACTCATACGAGTGGAGCCCCCCCCCCCCCCCCAAATACACACACATCCCCCATTTATTTCACCCAATCACATCCAACATTCCGCTAAGTGCACAAAATAAAACACAGCGTGAATCCTCTGATTTCCTTCTCTCTTTTTTTTTTAATCTCGAAGTTACGAAGAGGCGACTGTATGAATTGTGGCCGGAGACGTTGCATGTATGAATGAAGTGATTCTGCCATGATTTCTTGCTTCCCATTTTCGAGGTGCTTCACTGCATGCATATTATACTATTGAAATTAATTAAATTTGTTTCAACGCATCACAGCCTTCTATTGTGTTTTCACGCTGGCTACCACGACCATCATAAAGGTTGTATAAAACCCTCAATTTCATTCTATACGCATGACTCATGCGCGAGCCATGCAGGCAGCTAAAATAAATGTTTAAGAGGCCTCATATTGGAGTCGCACATTTCATGGACCTTTCAGAAACCAACATCGTGCCAGGGACAGGATAACCTCGTGTTTTTTCACCAGTACCATATCCGTTCGCTATACGAAAAGCTCGAACGAGCGCAAGCGTGAACGGTAGCGCTCCTTTGCAGCGAAAAAATGGCTGTGCTGACCGAATACAAATCGCAGGATCGTGCCACGGCCGGACTGAAAAGCAAAGGCGACGCAACGCGCGAGTTTTCTCCTTAGTCTCCTAACAACTTCACGTGTAAGAACACCATACGGAAGCCACAGCTTGGTTAACATTGTACAGCAGACGAATGAACATCCGGGGCTCCCGCACTTTGAGCTCTGGCTCCCGTTGTCATAATAACGGGTCACTTGCCCTCGTATCACAAGTGTATTTTTGGGTGAAACAGCGGCAAGTGATATAACTACGCAAAATATCTGCTATAAAGCTTAAGTCACAGCCCGCACCGCAAAATAGATTGTGGATGAGTAAAGTATGACTTGCGAGTCGACAAATTGGCATCGCTACAGCGAACAAGAAGGGGGCAGGGGAGTGAACGAGGCGGCCGCGCCGCATCTCGTCTGATTCTCCGGCGGGTGACAATAGCGGCGGCGCTGTAGTCTCATGGTACTAAAGATCTCAGAAGCGTCTGCTTTAGGAGTGTGCGCACTTGAGCCTGCGAAAGCATGTAATTGCTCATTTTTAGCGCATTTAATGCATTTCT